GGAGAGGCTTATTGAGGAGATAGGACCAAGCTGGTTATGAAGAGTATAAAAGGGTGGATGGCCTAGGTGGAGCTTGGTGGGGAGGGCCTGGAAATGGAGCCAGTGAGCATCCTTGCTCTTACAGAAAACAAGAAGCTAATGTGAGCTTTTGGTGGGGGTTGGAAGACTGGTCTGCAGAGGTGAGCAGGAAAACAGGTCTCTTCTTTCCAGGTGTGGGGCCAGGGTGTTGGAGCAGTAGAGAGGCCAGGGCTCCCCTGAGATGGGGGCTGTGGAGGTGGGGGGAGGGGCAGCAGAGCCCTTCTGAACATGCTCATGGCTGGAAGGTGAGATGTGGGGAAGGCAGGACTGGAGGTTCTGACGGAAACTTCAAGGAAGCTGATACATTGCAGAAAAGGCGTTCATTGGAAAGGGAGAAGTTGCTCTTTAAGACATCCAGTTGAAGGCGTGAGCCTTGAGGCAGAGAGAACTCACTTTTCAATTCTCTACCTTTCCCTTTACCAGTTAGTGTTGTCTTGTTACTTAAGTACTCCGGGCCTCGGTTTTATTGTCTGTGAAGTGGGGATGATAGTGCTTGGCACAGAAGGTTCTTGAGGCCAGGGAAGGGCTGGGCTGATGGGGGTGGTGACATCGGGAGTTGAGTGGCAGGGCCGTGGGCCGCCGTGGGCTGGGTGTGCAGGTGAAAGCTAAAAGGTTAGATAGTGTCCCTTTTCTTACTTGCATGATTATCAGGAGCCTATGTGCCTCCCTCTCTCCAGAGACCGGTGATCTTTTGTCCCTTTCAGCTTGACTGTGGTTTGGGGCAGAGGTGGGCCTTCTCGTGTGCTGTGAGGTAGCCACTGGAGAGCTGCTGCGAGCCTCCGCCAGAGTTCAGGAGCAGCCTACGGGAGGGAAATTCAGGCCTAGGCTAAGGGGAGGTATTGAATGTGGGGGAGTTCCAGGGAAGGGGCCTGGGAGCGGGGAGCAACCAGATGGCAGGTGGTACGGGCCTCAAGCTGGGAACAAGATGAGAGACTGAGGACCAGGAGGAAAGGTAAATAGCCCCCAGCCCCTGATTCCAGTGACTGCTGGGTCCTCAGGCCTCACCGGGCTCCCTGTGTGGCCTCGCCTGGAATCCAGGGGCTGTGTATCAGAGTGACGGGGACTCCTCAGGCCGGAGTGAGGAATGTCGCTGTGCTGGATAAATGAAACATGCCATTGCCTCCCCAGGACGAGCCCTCAGGCGAAGCAGCCTCATCGTCGGTTCTCAGCCCGCAGCCTTCTACCCTCCACCCCCTGTTCGCTGTCGATTTGCCCGTCTATGTCCTGCAGGTCTGGATGCCTTACAGCTCTTTGGGTGTGTTAGTAAGACTGTCAGGAAGCTTTTGGCTTTCTGAGGCTTGTTGCTGAGGTGGGGCTCTAGTGAACACTCACTGGGTTGGTGGCCGGGACGTTTTGCTGCTTTCTAGAAAAGGTGGGTAAATGACCGAGGAACAAAAGACTAAGAAAAAAGCTCAGGTTTGCTCCCCCTTTTAGCTCCTCTTTGTAAATAAGGTGAAATTTAATACACTTGAAATATTTTCTATTTAGAGACTCTAGTCACGGGACACCTGGGTGGCTCAACCAGTTAAGCAGCTGCCTTTAGCTCAGGTCATGACCCCAGGATGTCCCATGTCAGGCTCCTTGGAGCCTGCTTCTTCCTCTGCCTGCTGCTCCCCCTGCTTGTGCGTTCTTTCTCTCTGACAAATACCTTTAAAAAATAAAATAAAATGCTCTTTGAGTATATAAAAAAAAATTTCTAGTCACTTTCTCCTATGGGAAATAGGCTGGCCAGGGTTTGTTTTTAAAGATTTATTTATTTATTTGGGGCGAGGGGCAGGGGCAGAGGGAGAGGCAGAGAAACCCAAGAAGATTCTGCACTGAACATGGAGTGGACATGGGGCTCGATCTCACAACCCTGACATCAGACCTGAGCCAAAACCAAGAGTCAGACGCTCAACTGTGTGTGTGCCACCCAGGCATCCCTAGTCCAGCCAAGTTTTTGACTTATGGGAAAACAGACACAGGAGAGTTAGTTTGCTTAAGTAAGTGCATAAACCATGTATTGGTGGCAATAGGTAATTCAGATTTGGCTATAAAATAAAGTAGGTAGCTTATCAAATTTTTAACAGTTCAACCTTAAATATGTATTTTTAAAAGACCTACACATATAATTTTAGTTTTCTTGTATTCAAATTGGGCTGTTGAATGTTTTCCTTAAAAGGTCAAAAACAAATATCGAGTAAAGCGCTGGTAGACAGAGGTGTGGGTGGGGGTCCCAGGCAGCTGGAGTGGGGGTTCCTTCCAGTGCAGTTGGGGATCGTGTATTCAGAAAACCTCACGGATGTCGACTCCATTCTGCCTGGTATTCCCACTCAGGAGATCATTCTTAAAGAAATGTGGCAGAGTACACATAATTGGCCAAAAGATGTTTGCCATCGCCTCGAAGCTAATGCTGGGGCCTGGTCTTCCAGCACGAGGAGGTGGGCTGGGTGGGAGGTCGTGCAGCCATCGATGACAACCACAGGCAGTCAGGAACTGAGAGAGGAGCTTCCCCACACAGAACGGGGAAGGGCTATAAATTGAACAAGGACATTTCCGAGGAGACCTAGAACACAGTAGCATTAAGTTCACTTTGCCTTTTTGTTTACACTCAAGTTTCTTTCTTCAAGGAATATATGTGAAAATAAGGGGAAAACAGTTCGTTTTAGGAAAGTGGGAGGTGCCCTCGCTGGCTGGCCCTGTGGATTGTGATGCTGGTCGTGTGTGGCCACCCCGCTGCCTTCTGGGAGGTGGTCCTGCACTGCCCCGGTCCCCGGCTCTGCTCCTCACTACTCTGCTTGGTTTTTCAGGAGGTGCTTCCTGCAACTGGAGGGGCTGTCGGGCCTGAGGACGTGCAGTGTGCGGGGAGCACCATCAACCTTCGGGACCTGCAGTGACCGCGGCCCTTTGCCCCAGGGACCCAAGGGCCACGCCTCCAGCCAGTGGCCCTGAGACTCCGTTAGGTGGTCTTACAGGCCTGGGGGAGATCCCACTAGGTTTCTGCTCAGGAGGCTCGCTGAGCTCCTCGAAGACTTTTGGGCTCGCTTCTCAAAAATGTTTTTTGTACGTTTTATCAGGAACCGGTTTGGGGCAGTATTCATGGAAATCGCCTTATAGGAACATGAGGCAAGGCCTGCCCTCAGGGCCAAGCACATGCCTTTGCACACAGATGTCCCTTGTCCCATTTGAGCGAAGCCATGGAGCCCCTGCTGCATGAGAAGAGACTTAGGCAGGAGGTAGGGTGGAGTACAGATTCCCTAGTCAGATAGGACTTCATCTGTGGTAAAAGCCGATGGGATCTTTCACCTTCCATGCTTCAGCATTTGGCCTGAGAAAGATCTAGAAACTCTTTCCCCTTTCTGAGAGCTAGCAGGCTGGTTCCCATCCCCTGGGGTGGTGGCTGTGCTTGGGCTGATTCTGTCAGCCCGAGGGTTAGAAGTGGTCCCGTTGTCACAGTGAAGCCAAATTCAAATCCCTGTTTTGGCAGAGCAGGCGGGGGAGCTTGTGTGAGGGGGAAGGAGATGGGGGTGAAAAGGGGCACACTGGGGCCCTGTTAGCGACCCCTCTGCATGGAGGCCAAATGTAAAGCTCCTAATTTGGGGATGGATGGTTGAGGTAAACTTTACGTTTTTCTAAATTCTGTATTTGGGTATTCACGTTTAATACTAATTTGTCCATGGTTTCTAAAGTCACGGTCTGAGTCCTGAACATGACGTGTGGGGCAGCGAGAATGGTGTGTCTGCTTGTCCAGGCTGCACACGTGCATGTTCTGTGTGGCCGTGCATTTTTACGGAGTGCGGTCTGTCTTGCACAGGAGGTGAGCCGATAACCTTGCACATATTTATTTGTTTGTTAGTGGGACTGGCCATGGGGTCACTCAGAAATGCTGTTTTTCGCCGTGTACCTTTGAGGCTTATGTTGATCCAGATGCTGTTTTGGTTCTTGAATTTGGAATTGTCCAAACTCTGCCTGTTCTTTGTTTCTTCATTTCTTGAGTTTTTGGCCTTGGGCTTTTGGGAATGACCCCAGCATTTGGTGGTGAGTCCTATCTCTGTCCTCCTCCTCTGAGGTGCTGTCTCTCCAGGTACTTCTCCACCCAGGGAGAACTCAGGCCCTGTCAGAAATGGTTTTTACCCACAGAACTCTGTGCTGTGTCACAGACTAAAGTTTTGTCCTCCTGTCCCCTCAGCCTCCAAGTCACCAGCAGCCCCCTCCCACCATGAGGAGCCAGCCTGCCTGCCAGGGTGGTCTTGGGGGCTAGGTCGCCTAGTGGCTGCACTGCCCTGTCCTTCTGTTGGGAGGAGGGGCCGGGCCATGGGAATGCTCTCTCTGGGCTGGGTGGTTGGAACATTCCCCAGAATGTTCTCCTGGGAATGTCCACCACTGAAATGACTGGTAGTGGCTGTCAGTTTTCTGGGCACTGAGTTCTGTGGTGACCATGGGCCCAACTTCTAGTACAAATGAATAAAAATTTTTGTACAGTCATGTACTGATGGCATTACTTGGCTTTACTTCACGGGAGTGTGTGTATAGTGTGGACGTCATGTTTTGTTTTCAGTCAGTAACGAGAACCCTCTCACCCGCCTAGCTTGCTGCCTCCTTTCTTGTCTCTGCATATCACACCTCAGTGTGGAACTAGCCTTCGTGTCTCAAAGCAGCCACCTTACCTGAGGGCTAGATGAGCTCCTTCCTCAACCATGGGCCTAGGGCTCAGGGATTAGAGGAGGGGGTGCGGATGTCGGAATCAGCTTGCCTCCTTAAACAGGCCATCAGGCCACCAAAGAGGGGAAGTTTATTTCACATGAGTAAGGAAATGTACAGTGGGAGGCCTGGAGCGGCACAGGGACAGGGTGACAGCCGCCGCGGGCCCACCCACCCTGCCCCTGCTTCCTGCTGCTGTCCTTGCTGGGCTGTGGGTGGAGCGGCCAGCTGGTGCCGGGAGGCTAGGTGCAGAACAGCAGCTGCTCATCCTTGTCCTCCTCTGTCTGCACGTGCTCAGGCTCCTTCTTCACCTTGAGAGCTGGGGGCCGGGAGCGACTCACCAGTCTCCTGCCTCTCTGCAGAGCAAGAGGACTCTGTGAGCTATGCCTTGAAGCCTCACTGCACCCAAAGGTGCCGCCCAGGTCCTGAGCGTGCCTGGAAGCCAGGGAGCTGGGGCTGTGGGGTTCCAGGGATGTCCTGGCCTCCCCCATCAGCCCACGGGCTCAGGGCTGGAGCTGTCCTGAAATGACTTGGGAGTGAGCCTCCCCAGCATTTCCAGAGCCTGTTCCCTGGGTTGCAGTCCCCTTGTGTGTGTGTTGGGGCGCACCTGCAAACACACGGGCAAGTACCTGGCTAAACAGAGAGAGCCCGCTTCCTTTGCTCCAGGGATTTAAGGGGAGATCCCACAGTGTCTGCCGACTCCGTGTGACAGCATGGAGAGCGCTAATCTATTCAGAGAGCAGCCCCTGTCCGCTGGAGGCTGTATCTGGGCTCGGGCCTGCTTTAGGGAGCACCCCTCCTGCTCCCACAGCCTGAAAAAAGTGGCTGCTCTAGCCTTGTCTATGGGGCAGTCAGGGGAAACCCTAGTGATGGGGGATGAGCTGGAGTGATGGGTTCTGGCTGGAGTGTTGGTGGAATGGTGGGACCCTATGGGGGCTGAGCTGCACCTGGGTAGGACTGGGAGGGGGCTAGCCAGGCCAGTCACCCCCCCCAAGGAGTGCGTGTGCAGGATGACAGGCAGCCCCAGGAGGACTTGCTGAGGAAGACAGTCCCAAGGGGCAGCAGGACTGGTGGGCCAGGAACGGGACAGCCTGCTCTATCCTGGCCTTACTCGGATGGCCCCGTCTTTCCCCCAGCGCCTCAGCAATTAGCAGCTGCAAAACGGGGAGCCAGGCTTGGCTGTAGTTCCCCAGCTCCTCTCAGCCCCACAGTGCCTGGTCATGGGGCCCTTGCCCAGCAGTGACTCCCCGGGGCCACCCTGCCCACCTTCTTCTTGATCTCAGCCTGGGCCCGGGCCTGGGCCCGCTGCACACGCTCCTCCTGCAGCCGCTTCTGCATCATGACCTTCTCCTCCCGGAGTCTGGATGCAGGGGCAGCACAAGACGATTAAGAACTGGAGGCACTGGGGAAGCTCCCAGATCTGCTTCTCTCCACCCTTCCCTGCCAGGCCAGGTTGGCCTCTGAACCTTGTTCTTGAGGGTTCCTGGCTTAGGTCCATCTGCTCATACCCCTTGGAGGGTGGGTCCATGCTGCCTGCTTCTAGCATTAGGACACTGCCAAGTCTTCCTGCCTTCCCCTGCCACTAAACTGGGCTTCCTTGGCTTCCCCCCCGTCTGCATCTTCCCTCCCCGGGTCTCTGGCAATGCCGATCTCTTCCTCTCCCAATCCAGCAGGAAAGATGGCCATTGCTGTCCCTTGTCCTTGGGGTGAGGCCATGCTGTCCACACCCTCACTTTGTCTCTGGGCTCCCTGAGCCCACCTCCTCTCCCACTGCAGACTAAGTTAGGGGTCCTCTCTGGAAGACCTCTCAGCATGGAGCACCAAGCTCCTGTCTCCCTTGGTGTGGGGGCTCTTTGAGGACGGGTCTGTATCCTACCTCTGTCCCCAGGGCCGGCCTGGGCCTGCCCAGAGCCGAAGCAGGGGTGTGGAGGGCGTTGTGAGGTGGCTGGTCAGACCGCGGCGGGGCGGGGCAGGGGCCTGGCTCTCACCGCACGCGGCGCTCCTTCTCCTTGGCCTTCTCGGCCTGCTCGATCTTGATCTGGGGCACCCGCTCTAGGTTTTCCAGCAGCTCGTCCAGGTGGTGCTCGATGATGGTGAGCATCTGCACGGGGCCCAGGTTGGACTCCTGCTGGCTGCCGAGGCATTGCTGGTACACGTCCAGCACCTTGCGGTTCAGGCTTTCCAGCAGCTTGTCCTGTGAGGGGGGCAGGCCGGCAGAGGGGTGGCGTGGGCCTCTGCCTGCCCCCCACCGCACAGCCCGCCGCGCCCAGTGCCCTTGCTGTGATGCAGCTGCCCTCCCCGAGCCCTGGCAAAGCCTGGGAGAAACAGCTTAGACACTTGGACTTTTCTTGGCCAGAGCTGCCCTTGCCCTCCTGCGGTCAGCCAGACCCAGGGCTCCAGCCACCACTGAGGTTCTACCCCAGCTGCCTCAGTGTGTCCATGGGGCCCAGTCCCCCCTTCTAGGGCCCTCTTCCGCCCCTGCACTGACCTCAGCTCCCCACAGGACCCTGGCCCATGAGAGCGACTTCCTGTGCGGCCTGGGGCAGATGATCTCCCCTCTCAGCCTGATCTTACATTTAGAAAGTAACTCTCTACCACATGGACTGGGCGTGAAGATTGAGGAAGGAATAGCAGACAGGCAGGCTCAGGCCAGGAGTGGGAGTCTGTCTGGCAGGCCGCGGGTACACCAGCCTGCTTGTTGTGGCCTCCTGCGTACCTGCCCTGGGCTGGTACACGGCGGGTGTTCAACAGTAATTTGCGGGAATTAGGAAGCTGGGACTCTGCCTATGCCCCCAGTGCACTGTCAGGAAGAGTGCGCAGCGTGCCCTGGAACATTCTTGGCCCTCTGTGCCCTCAGAATTCTCTCACTCTTTCAGGCTGGCTTGGGGGCATGCCTTCTTCCTCCTGGCAGGGTCACCTTCTGGACACTTTGTGTTAAAGAAACAGATGTATTTGTTGAGTGAAAGAAGGAAGGAATGGAGGAAGTGTGCTGGGCAGCTGAATGGCCAAGGGGCATAAATACACAAGATGACTCCAGTTGGGGGACCAAGGGCCTTCTCAGCCAGTGCCCCTCGATCCAGCGCTACAGAGCCTGGAAGGTGGGGAGGTCAGCACTGGGTGCTCCCAGATGTGCTCGTCAATGGATTGGGCCCCAGGCCTGTGGTCACCCGCACTCCCTCCACACTCGCTGCCCTCCGGCTGCTGATCGGGGGGCCTACCTCCTGAGCACCCTTGTACTTGCCGAAGTGGAAGACTCGGGCTTTGAGCTCCAGCTCGGCGGCAGTCTCCTCCTCCTTGGTGATGGACATCATCAGTGTGGTGACCCACTGCTTCAACTGGTTGACCTCCTTGTCCCTGGATTGGGGACCGGCAGGGCCCTGCCCACTCAGCACAGCTCCGGGCAATCCACCTCTCTGAGCCTCACTGCCCCATCACTGTCCTGAGGGCTAAGGGGCTGTGACCGCAGAGTGCGTGCCCGGGGACCAGAGATGCTGCTGAGATGCAGGACTAAGATTTAAGATCTTTAACAACACTATGAAAAAATAAGTAACAGCTTTATTGAGGCATAATTCACATACCTATAAAATTCTTTTAAAATGCATAATTCAGGGGGTACCTGGGTGGCTCAGTTAAGCATTGGACTCTTGATTTCAGCTCAGGTCATGATCTCAGGGTCATAAGATCGAGCCCTGTGTTGGGCTCCATGCCCAGTGACAAGTCTGCTTGAGATCCTCTCCTCCTCCCTCTGGCTCTCCCCCTGCTTGTGTGCTCTTTTTCTCTCTCTCAAATAAATAAGTAAAATCTTAAAAAAAAAAAAAACCAGTTCATTAATTTTCAGGGTATTTATACAATTGCATAACCATTGCCATCATCTCATTTCAGAGTATTTCTATCACCCAGAGGAACCCATTCCCTATTAGCAGTCACTCCCCATCCTTTCCTCCCCCCCAACTGTGTGTCTGTTCTGGACATTTCATAAATGTGGAGCCATACAGTGGTGGCCTTTGTGTCTGGCTTCTTCATTCAGCAGAATGTTTTCAAGGTCTGTCCATGTTAACGGCATTTGTCAGAACTCCATTCTTTTGGAGGTTTATGTGACAGTTCCCTGTGTTGATGGACCATAATTTGTTGAAATGGATGTATGGTTGATCCTACCTTTTGACTCTTGGGAATTATGCTGCTGTGAACATTCGTAGACAGGTTTCTGTGAGGACATGTTTTTAATTCACTTGGGCATATATTTATATTTTAAAAAGATTTTATTTATTGGGGCACCTGGGTGGCTCAGTGGGTTAAGCCTCTGCCTTCGGCTCAGGTCATGATCTCAGGGTCCTGGGATCGAGCCCCACATCGGGCTCTCTGCTTGGCAGGGAGCCTGCTTCCCCATCCCCCTCTGCCTGCCTCTCTGCCTACTTGTGATCTCTCCCTCTCTCTCTGTCAAATAAATAAATAAATAAATATTTTATTTATTAGAGATAGATAGCACAAGCAGGGGGGAGGGACAGAAGGGGAGAGAGAAACACTCCCCACTGAGCTGGGAGCCCAATGCAGGGCTTGATCCCATGACCCTGGGAACATGACCTGAGCTGAAGGCAGATGCTTAACCAACTGAGCCACCCAGGCACCCTTGGGCATATATTTAGAAATAGAATTCCAAAAATCAATTTTTAAGTGAAATAACGAACTTAAAGAATAATACCAAATAAAAATCTTCCACAATCATGGCATACACTGACCATCATATGTCGGGATTTCCCAAGCAAGAATCCCTGTTCTTAGGGCTGACATGGGTCCACCCAGTGTGGGCAGCTGCATCTGGCCACTCCCCCAGCAGTGCCTGGGAGGCCCAGTGGGACCCTCCCACCCCCCATGGTGATTCTGTGGCTCCTCCCCCATTTGTTGATAGAACTCACCAACGTTTTCCCAACCCTAAGCAAAGGCCCGTGGGCTGCTGCTCCTTTGCCCACTGTGGGTCCCATGGCTTGTCACATGCACCAGCACAGGCATGCAGGCCACCCCCCCTCAGGAGCCCTCCAGGCTACACTCCCCTGACTTTGGGGTGGAGGGCTGAAAAGCTTGTGAGTATGAGGGGGGCTGAGGTAGGTGGCCAGAGGGACCACGAGGAGCTCACACACAGCCCACCCCCCCAGGTGCTGGTGGGGCTCATGCAGGTCACCTGGGATCAGAGAGCATGTCCTGGGTGTCAGGGCCAACTTTTTCCAACCACACATGCCCATTGTAGGGGTAGGTATGTTTAGGGCCAGTGGTACTTGTCCCAAAAGATACATGATTGCATTCAATTATAACCTTTTTTTTTTTTCATACTTCCTTCACTTCCATCCCCTTAACTGGTAAGTGTGATCCTACAGCTGGCACAGGGCTGCTGTGCTTGCCCTCCTTTGCTATATGGATGTGGTGGTGGCGGCGGAGGGCTTTTCGTTGTTCTCTTTCTTCTCAGGGTAACTGGGATAAAAAGATATCCTTTCCCTACTAGTTCTCTTTCAATGTAAAATTGTTGGGTCGCAATATTTTCTCCTCAACTAGATCTCGCCAGTTTACGGGAATGCAAAAGCATGGGGGACATACTGCTGAGCATTGCTCCTCAGGCTAGCACGCATATCACCTGCATGTTTGTCAGAAATGCAGGTTCGGGGGTGGGGGGGTTCCAGTGTACACAGAGTCTAAGAAGCACTTCAGTGCTGGAAAAGTGACCTGGTTTCTTCAATACCTGGACAGGGGGACAAGAAGCTGGAGAGGGAACCTGTAGACCGAAAGGGATTTAATGACACAACGAATATTGCAGAGCATGATCTTATTTAGATTCTCATTCAAACTAAGTTTAAAAACTCCAATCATTTATGGATTATGGATATTTAATATTAAGGATTACTGGTTTTTCTAAATGTGATGATTGTATTGTGATTATGTTAAAGAATCCATATCTTTTTAGAGATACCGGCTGGCATATTCACAGATGAAATGATACATGCCTGGAATTTGCTCTGAAATAATATAGGAGGTGGAGAAGTTGGTGGAATCTAGGTAAAAGGATATTAGCTATGAGTTGATCACTGCTGAAGCTAGCAATGGGACCCTGGGGACTCATGATACTATTCTCTCTATGTTTGTAAATTTATATGTATGAAATTTTCTTAAGGCTGTTGGACTGAATAGCAGAAGTTATAAAAAGTTTTTGAAAGGTAACAAGATGATCTCTTCATAAATGCCTGGGGACATATAGCCAGAAAGTTTAGTATTTAAAAAAAAAAAAAGCAAACACCATCAAATAGGAATAAAGTTCATTCAAAAGACCAAGCAAAAGAGAAAGAGTTACCATACTCCTGCAGAAATAGCAGGAAAAAGAACAAAAATTAAAAATTTTGAAATAGAGAAAGATGGCAGAGTAGGAGCACCATAAATCTGTTTCCCCACCAGACAATGATTGCAGAACCTATCTGATATAGCCATCTTGGAACTCTGGAGTCTATTGAAAACTTACAACTTCCAGGGGAAGGCTTGGACAGTAATTGTGGTTAATTTCCCTCCATTTCAGCTCTAAGCATAGTGACATTTACCCAGCCATCAACTCCCAGCCATGTGGCAGGCAGCTGTTCAGGTTTTCTGGAGCAACTAGCACACAGCCTATTGGAGCTAGGGTGGGCAAAAAAGGACCTTGTCCTCCAAATGTTGGGGATCTGTGCCCTGATCCCTGATTGGTGCTTCTGACCACAGAGGTACAGACAAATAGGCAGGCAGCCCTTGTTTCAAGCAACCCCGTAATCTCCCACTTGACTTTCAAGGGATTTAAAAGGCCAGTGCTTTTTCCTCTCTTCATTTTTTGCTTTTTTCCCCTTAGAGAGCCAGATCTTAAAGACTGAGGACATGCAAAAATAACAGCATATATGGGAAAAATTAGAAAGTGACCCTGTATGCCCAGGGAAAGTCTCAGAAAAAACCTACCTTTACACTGCAGGATGAGTCTCAACATAAAGACAACCTACAAGATTCTTATTAAAAAAACAATACACAATGGAGTAGGGAAATGAAAAATTCACTAGAGGTATTTAAAGGCTTATCTGAGCAGGGAGAAGAAAGAATTAGTGATCTTGAAGATAGGATAATGGAAACTATCAAGGCTGAGGAACAGAAAGAAAAAGATTGAGAAAAGTAAACAGACCCTGACAAACTGGTGGGACACCATCAAGAGGACCAATATATGCACCATAGGAGTCCCAGAAAGGGAAGAGAAAAGGGGTCAGAGAGAAGATTTGAAGAAAAATAGATGAAAAATCTAAAATTGATGAAAGACATGAATATAATCATCCAAGAAGCTCAAGGAACTCCAAGTAAAAGGAAATCGAAGAGCCCCACACTGAGACATTACTATAATCAAACTATTACAAGATAACCAAAAGCCAAAGCCAGAAAACTTTGAAAGCTGCAAAAGAGAAGCAAATCATTTTATACAGAGGATCTTCAATATGATTATCAGCAGATTTCTCATTAGAAACTTTGGTGGTCAGAAGGCTGATATAGTTGAAGTGCTCAGAGGGGGAAAGAAACCCGTTAGCTAAGGATTCTGTATCTGGCAAAACTGTCCTTTAAAAGTGAGGGAGAAGCTAAGAGATTCCCCAATGAACAACAGTGAAGGAGTTCATTCCCATGAGACCTGCCCTGCCAGAAATGCTCAGGGGAGTCCTGCACAGTGAAATGAAATCAAGACAGTAAGTTAAAACCCTATGACAGACTAAAAATCTCAATAAAGGTATAATGTTGGCAATTTTAAAAGCTAGTAGAAATGTAACACTGGTTTGTAACTGGAGCAAGGGAAGGAAAAGAGCAAGGGTAGTAATACTAGATTGTAACTGTTTTCTACATGATTTAAGAGACTAATACATTTAAAAGAATTTTTAGTTTATGTTTTAGAGCACATAATGTATGGAAACATAAGGTTGTGACATCCGCAACCAAAAGGATGATGATGGAACTGTAAGGGAGTAGAGTTTCTGTATGTTAGAAATTAAGGTGGTATAGATTGAAATTTGAGTGGTAACAGCCTTGGATATTAAAGATAATCCTCATAGTAACCACAAAAAAAATAGCTATAGAATATACACAAAAGGGAAAGAGAAAGGAATTTAGATATTTCACTACAATCAGCTAAACACAAAGAAAACAGTATTGCAGGATATGGGGGCAAAAACTATAAGGCATATAACAGACAAAAAGTACAATGACAGAAATCCCACTATATCATTAATTAATTTAAATGTAAGTGGGCTCAATTCTCCAAAAGACTGAGACTGGCAGAATGGATAACAGATGATTCAACTATATGCTGTCTACAAGAGCCT